GAAGGCAGCAGAGGAAGATCCAAAACCTTGGTTCCCTGTGCTCACATGGGAGTCCTTGATGAATCTCCTGGCTTCGGCCTGGCCTAGTTCCAGCCACTACGGTAGTGTATTATGATAGTGCTGATGCACTAAATGGGATGGGTAACTCTACCTTTCAAATAAAGACATTTTTTGTTGTAAAGATTATTTTATTGGGAAGGCATATTTACAGAGAGGAGGAGAGACAGAGAGGAAGATCTTTTGTCTGCTGGTTTACTCCTCAAATGGCTATAATGGCTAGAGCAGAGCTGATCTGAAGCCAGGAGCAAGGAGCTTCTTCCAGGTCTCCCACTGGGGTACAGGATCCCAAGACTATGGGCTATCCTTGATTGCTTTCCCAGGGACAAGAACGGAGCTGAACAGGAAGTAGAGCAGCTGGGATTAGAACCAGTGCCCACATGGGATCCTGACACATGCAAGATGAGGACTTTAGCTGCTAGGCTAACGTGCTGGGCACTCAAGCCCCAGCACAGTAGTCTAGTTGCTAGAGTCATTGCCTTGCACACTGTGGGATCTCATATGGGCACTGGTACTAATCCCAAGGCTTTGGCATATCCAGGCCACAAGCAAGGAGCTGGATAGGAAATGGATGGCTGGGATTAGAACCGGTGTCCAGATGGGATTCCAGCGCACGCAAAGCGAGGACTACTAGGCTACTGGGCTAGGCCCAAGACAAGCAATAGATGATATTTTAAAATCAGATACCACTTTACTGATAAATTTAGAAAAATAGAATATAAAGGAAGAAACTTATGTCCCTAAGTTTACCCACAATCCTCTAGTACCCCAGAGAGAAAGTAGAAATTGCATTCACTCTTTTCTTATGCATATTACATTTCCTCAAGAATCTAGAAGGAAAGCAAATAAGACCTCTCTGGAGTTGTGGCTCACAACTGGCAGTGAGGGAAGACAGAGCTGCTTAGCTCCAGAACTGCTTTCCTCAGTGTCTGCTTGCACCAACAGCTCCTAGCTCCTAGCACTGGGACAGGGGCAGCAAGGGTGCCTAACACAGTGCTGAAGGAGAGGGGTGTCTGGACAAGGCTTGGGAAGGCACAGGACGGGGCTAAGTTCCTGGGAGTGGAAAAGGGCAAGGTGTTCCTGTGGCCAGGAGGCCGAAGGGTGGGTGGGCAAGGGGATGAAGTGATCCCATGGTGCAGACGGCTGGGCAGGAAGATGAACAGGGATAACAGACACCGACAAGGCGAGCCACATACAGCTGCCACTGCCTTGAATGTTCCAGTTAGGGCTATAACACCTGCCCACACATGCTAGCGTGCATCCACAGCCTCACAATGCTCAATTCTCTCTGCCCAGTCGGCCCAGGGGCAGTCAGAGATGCCAAGCCCAAGCATTGCTCTCCATACAGTTCAGCTGCCTGCCAGGTCTGGTCCCCAACCAGAGTTCCACTCAGATCAGGGCCCTGCCATTGCTCCACACATGGCCCCTGTCCTGACTCCCCAGTCTTCCCATCCTGGGAAGGCCAACTGAACAGGAGGTTCCTGAGTTGACAGAGCTGAGTCATACAGGTGGAGAGAAACCTTTCTAATCCCCGCTGGCTGCCAACGGCTGTGACCTTTCCACTGTCCAGCCATGTGACATGGCCGGCACCCAGCACAGCAGAAGCCAGCAGCTGTACAGGGAAGTGACGGTCATGAGGCGAAGGCTGCCCATTCACCTTATGTGCCAACAGGACCTCAGCTGCAGGGTCCCCGGGCCTGGCCAGGGAGGGATGCTCCAGGCAATCCCAGTGGGACCTGCAATAAAGGATTGAAATGATAGGCTAGTTATTGTGCTTTGAAAATTCCTATCTTGATATTTTTATGGGGTATAAAGACAAAGCTGGGTCCTGTGCACTGGTATAGTAAACTAATCCTCTGCCTGCATTGCCAGCATCCTTTATGGGCACCTGTTGATGTTCTGGTTGCTCCACTTCTGACCCAGCTTCCTGCCCGTGGTCTGGGAAGGCAGCAGAAGATGGCTCAGATCCTTGGGCCCCTGCACTCAGGTGGGACATCTGGAATAAGCTCTAGGCTCCCAACTTTGGACCAGACCCAGCTCTGCCAGCCCTGGGTATATAATAGGGAGTAGACTAGCAGATAGAAGATCTCTCCCTCTCTAATTCTCTTTCCAGTGAAATAAATAAATCTTAAAAAAAAAAAAAAAGATGAAATTCTATCAGTATTTTTTCTATAAAAGTTCTTTCTAGGCCAAAAAAAAAAAAAAAATTCTTTTTAGGCCAAGCCTCACTATCACTTGCTGAGCCACTGAACCCGGCGTATTTTTTTTTTTTTTTTTTTAAGGATTCCCCAGGGCGTCTCTTTATTCATGCAGAGTTCCATTGTGATGCACATTTTCCAAGCAGGAATTTTATTTACTGTAGCCATATCCAGATTGTTGCCTGTCTCTTTTTTTTTTTTTTTTATTAATAAAATTAATTTTGACATTCTTCACATACTTAGTTAGAGTAAGAAGGTTCAAGGGCTACAGGAAAGTGGATAATACTAGTATGTTTTCCATATTGTTACCTTCATGTTAAAAAGGGGGGTATTAAGGGAGAAGGCCCACCCAATTTCCCACCCTCCCCAAGTCCCGGGTGTAGGGCATGCTCTGAGGTTCTTCCTCGAGTGGTTTTGATATTGCAACAGTTATGAATCGCTGTCAATCTTGCCACTCCAAGCACTATGAGGTCTTTGAAAAATCCACTGATTCACATAGTCCATCATAGCTGAGATGGTTGGTTGACCTGTTCTGTCTTCTCTCTTTTCTTCGTTAGGGTTCTGAGTCCAGCATTTAGATTAGGAAGATCTCCAAAGAAACTTCTCGTATGTGCTAACAAGTACAGGGCCAGGCACCGTCCATCGCTCCAATCAGCTGGTGGTTGTAATTGCTGGGTTGGTTCTGTTTTCACTCCCGACTTCCACTGGAACCAATGGGTGTTGCGGTCCAGCCTGGTTCTGCCCCGCACATATTTGGCCCTCACCTAAACCAGTGGGAGCTGCAGCCTAGTTGGAGCGACCCACAATAACCCCCACCAGGACCGCCCCTACCCTGGTTTGCCAGTAAGTGTAGCAGTAATCCAGTCTGTCCCACCCCCCATTCCACCCCAGCCACTGTTTAGTTTTATGTCCTCCCGTGGAAGTGGTAACCCAAGAGGGATGAGCCCACTATTACCCTCCCAGGCCTCTCCCACTCCCAGATTCCAGTTACTGCTGCCCAACTAAACCTCGCCCACTTTAATTCTGTTTGCACCAGTAGGAATAATCAGCCCAGCTCGGCTTTTCCCTGATCTAGTCCACATGAGGCACGCAGGTGTGGTAGCTCTGCCTAGTCTGGTCTGCCCCCATCCCAGCCCATGCTCTCCTGCGGAAGTAGCTATCCTGCAAAGGAACCCTCCCTTATTCCCCTGCTGGCTCTGCCTACTTCCTTTCTTGTTCTCAGGCTGGTTGGGCGCTGCGGTCCCCTCTGGTACAGGCAACCTCACCTCGGCATTCCATATTGTGCACTAGTCTTTGTTGCGACCGAACCTGGGTCAACCCACACTGGTGCCTGGATTTGCCAGTGGATGACGTGGACAGATTCAGCCTGGTCTTGCCCCCACGTCTGCCAAGTGTATGCCAGTGGGTAGCTTTCCATGGCCTTTTCTGGGCTGTTTCCTATCATGTTTCTTGCGCTGACCTGTCGGGTCTGTGTCCTGCCAGAGGAGTTGCCCAGGCTCCTCCATCAGAACCTCTCCCAATGCCAGGTTACACGCTTACCAGTGGGTCCATGAGCCAACCATACTCAGTCCACCTCCTGTCATAGCAGGAACTGTGGCTTTTCCTGACTGGCCTTCCACCCAATCTGGTTCTTGCTGTTGGATGTTCCGGCCCAGCCATGGTTTGTCCATACCTACGTATGGCTCACACATGGCTCAGTAGGGGTTTGAGACCTTGCCTAGTCTATCACACATCTGCCCTGGTCCTCCAGAACACCAGGGGGAGTCGGGGTCCAGCCCGGTTCGGTGCATCCAATCCCAGTCCACACTTGTGCCAAGGGAGACTACAACTGTATCCAGATCAGAACGCAGCCCCCCTTCCAGGCCATGCACCTCTTTGTGGGAACCTCAGCCCAGCTAGGGTTGTCCCCTTTGCTCCCCAACCGAGTCTGTTCCCAGCCATAGATCACACACATGCCAGTGGTTGCTCTGACTCAGCTTGGCACAGCTCCTCACCTGTCCCGACCTCTGCCTTAGACACTGTGGCTTCGTGTCCCTGGCTCCTGCAGACCAGTAGGTACAAGAGCCTAGGAACCCGGCGTATTTATCTACAAGGACCGCCAAATGTGAAAAAATTACAGTATTTAAACCTACTGATTGGCTCTAACATCACAAGGAGTTTCACAAAGATGCCAAGAGTGGAATCTAAGATGGGACATCATAATGAGATCTAATTACTGCACTTTCTCGATTCTGATTTGTGCTTACTCTTACTAATCCTGGTAACGGTTTATAATCACTTTTTTTTTCTCTCTTCTATGCAACTCCTGTTCGAAAGCCGTTTATTAAATGGTCCATTTCCCATGGGAAAATAAACGCACTGGCCCTCGGTGACTTTACGTGCAGGATCACCACGTCCTGCTCCACCCAGCACTCTCTTGTAAAGTGCTTTTCCAAGTGCTAACCCCTCAGTCCTCAAGTCTGTGGGAGTCACAGGAAGGAGAGCCAAACGTTCATATCTCCTTTCCTTTCCGAAAAGTAGTTAGGCACACGGGAGTCCCGTGAGGACGTCTGTCAAGAAAATCACAAACCACGCGCAGAACCAGACCCTCCAGCCTCGAATCCCCAGAGCGGTTCACTTAGCCCAGGGCAGACGCAGAACCCTGACTAGCAAGGGCTTTGGAGCTCCCACCGCCTCAGTCCCCAAGGTCAGCTCCTACCACCTACTCCCTGCCCCAACCGCCTGCCTCTGGCTGTGGTCGCTTACGGGTGGTTCGCATCCACTGGAGCAGCGCGGGCAGGTCGGCGGGAGCCACGGTCCGCAGGAGCTGGAGAACTGCATGCTGAGCCGACCGTAACTCCATGGTGCAGCCGATGCAACAGCGACGGCGGCGCGGTGCGCGTGCGCGGACCCACCCTCCGCCGGTTCCACCTGTCGCGGCGGCCGGAGCCCGAAGTCCCGCCCCGGGGCGAAGTTCTCACGTGCCGGTCTCTAGGAGCCTCCGAGCCGGCCGGGCTCTGTCACGCTAGTTCACGGGGCCGGCCTTCCTTCCCGAAATCGCCTCCCGTTTTTCTCGAACTCTGCTGACGCAAGTCACCCAACGGTGGCAAACCGAAAAGGCAAAAGCCCACTTGAAACAACAAAACGCCACCCTCCACCCCCCGCCAAGACCCTTCGGCAGAGTCCGAGAAAAAAACGCGGCTGCCGCGGTGCGCCCCGGAAGCGGAAGGGCTTCCTCGCCCTGCAAGGCAGGACTTCGCCGAGTGGTGACGTTTCCTCATTGGGCGGAAGGTTCGGTGGCATTCGTCGGTCTTCCAGCTGGTGGGAGTTGGCGTCGCGGTGCTGGGCGCTGTGGGCCCCTCGTTCGGATAGTTGGGGGAGTTAGGTTGTGGGCCGTTCTTGTCTGTCTACTCCGAGCTTTCCTGGTGTTCCTCCCACGGCAGGGGGCCGCTCGAAGGAATCCCCGGCCCCTTAGGGCCACGGCGTTATCGGTGCCTTGTGAGGTAAGTTGTCTGCTTTTTCTCGCCTCAGGCTTCGAGGGGCAGCCAGGGGCAGCCTCAACCCTGCCTGGGGGCCGGGAGGCTTGGGAGGGAGTTTTGGCTTTCCCGGCCGGGGGTTGTCATCTCCGAGGCTGCGATGCTCTGGCCCGTCTTTATCTCGTGTCTTCCATCCGAAGTTTTGGTTCAAGGATGTGCCGGGACCCTTTCAAGTTGTCTTCACATCGACGCGAGCCCAGTAAAGATGTACGCAGTTTCAGGCCCGAGTGTTTTGCTTTCCTGAATAGAAATTAACCCGGGACTACTTCCCAACAGCTTTTTGACGGGGCCCAGATGATAGTTTTCTTATGTATAATTTTCTTCGCACATCCTCCGGTGTGTAGTGGACGTTCAGTAAGTGATTCAGGAATGTTACTTCAGAACCAGGGGTGATATATGTATTGATGGTTCTTTCCCTGCCACTTGCACAACCTACTATTTGTTGCAACTTTTCTCTGTTGGCTTTCTGCATGCTGTCCTTAACCTAGTTGTTTAATACACTTAATTTAACGAAGTATTCACTTGTTCTTGGCTGTCGGGGATACAGGAATGAATGACACAAGTCCCGCCATTAAGAAGCTAAGCAGTATAGTGAGAGGCACATAAATATACATCATATTAAGATCAGTGCTAGAAGCTCTGATTAAAGCCATGGAGCTGTGGGAACACAGATGAGGGGTAGTTGTACTTCTTAAGATTGAGGGACCCGTGGGCAAGTTGCTGTTGTAGCCTAGCCTGTTTCCTTGTCCACCAGTGGGCTTATTATGAGGGTGAGAGGCGGTTAGGTAACATTTTGGTACAGTGCCTAATACATAGCAATGGTAGTGCCGAAGAGGAGGAAGGTATTTTCCTCTCACCCCTTCTCCCTCAATTTTTGATATAGACAATATTTTCTAACTGAATATGGAACATTGTGCAAAAGCATCTTCAAGCCCTTCTGAACAGATTATTCCATTTGTCTGGAAATTCTGAACCTGCCACTGGAATATAGTAAGATAACCATAAATGGTGTCTGCTTGCCTAGTAGTTGATTTTCTTTTATTTGCTTTTAGAGAAGTGGAGGGAATTAGTAAAAGCTTTTATGATTTTGGTTCTTTTCTGTCCTGGTTGCCACTTTCCTTTGAGATGGCCCTTGCTCACTGGCCTTCCATTTACCTCTGTGGCTTTCAGGTGCCATCTCTATGTGCCAGTCATTACCACGCCTTTTTCTTTAGCATCTGTCTTCATAAGAGAAGATACTGCAGTGCTGGCTGAGAACTCTTAAGTTCCAAAACCAAAATGCACCTCCTTTTTTCATTGTGAACTAACGCACGTGTCACAGCACTGATTGTCAGTCTATTTTTGAGTATTGATCCCGTGTGAATTTGGGGACACATGTAGGTTCAACTTAGAAAAGCAATACTTAGAACGTTCCAGATAACCACCAAGCCCCCTAAACATTTTTCTGTTAACTATAACTTTGAAACCAGCTTCTCTCTATGCCCATGCTCATTCATTCATTGGCCAGTGGCATCACTAGCCACTTGGTTAGTCACACCAGACATTGTAGTCATTTCATCTGGTTTCTCTTTCACTCTGTGAAACCCTTGGGCACGTATAGATTCTGCTTCCTAGGTTAAGTCTTCATTCTAGCCCGTTACATTTTTGTCTAAGTCAAGTCCACATCTTTCAGCAAGGGTTTTTTTAAGTATGGAAGAGGATTTTCATTGCTTTATTTGTTTTGAGGATTATGGCTTAATGTAGTGATTTTTAAAATATAGTCCATGATGCTTTCCAAATAATCATTCCTTATTTGCTCTCCTAATCGAGAAATCAGGGGTGGCTGCTGTCCCCAGAACCTCTTTACCTCACTGTCCTTGGATATTCTGACCAGGTATTTCATTTTTAGCTCATGACCGTTATTTAAATAGCAGTGGAATAATTGAGTGACTGAGTAAATGTCTCTCTTAAAAAAAAAAAAAGATTTATTTTATTTACTTGAAAAGCAGAGTTACAGAGAGAGGTAGGGAATGGGAAACCAATCTTATCTGCTCGTTCACTCCGCAAATGGCCACAACAGCCGGGGCTGCACCAGGAACTCCATCCATGCATCTCACATGGGTGGCAGGATCCCAAACGCTCAGTTCATCATCTGCTGCCTTCCTGGAGAATTAGCATGAACCTGGATCAAGAAGCTGAGTAGCTGCTATTCAGTCCTGCACCCTGGTGTAGGATGTGGGAGTCCCAAATGGCAACCTAGCGTGCTGTGCCACAGCCTTCCCTTGTAATGCTTAATTTACTTTCTGAAGCAGCCAGGAGTGTCTGCTTTTCTGTGTTGAACTGCCACAATTTACTGATTTGCAGTTAGAACTTTTTTTTTTTTTTTAATTCTGGGACAATTCTTGGAACACATGGTAGGTGTTTAATCAATGAATAAACAAATAGCAACTCTTTGCCTACCCCTAGCCCATTGACTAACAGCCCTTTAATTCTCATTGGAACACTTTGGAAAACAAATTTTATCCTTGAGTTAAGAATAATACTTTCTTGCTGTCTGCTGCTGTGTTGCATGCAAGAAAAAAGTGCCTATGCTTTCTGTCTGATTGTGGCAGCTAGCAAAGGTGGGGAAGTTAAGCCTTGCAAACAGTTACGAGCCTGCTATGCACCAAACAATCTGTAATTTTAGTTTATTGGAAAAGTGTTAGAAAATTATCTTAACTAGTGAATTGTACCTTTAATAATTTTACAGTTAAAAACTAATAAAAAGCCAGTGATGGTGGCTGACACCATGGTGTTGCATGTTAAGCCTCAACCTGTAGTTCTGGCATCCCATATAGGTACTAGTTTGAGTCCCAGCTGCTCCATTTCTGATCCAGCTCCCTGCTAAGGACCTGGGAAAGCAGCAAAGAGTGGCCTAGGTCCTTGGACCCCTGTACCCACAAGGGAGACTCAGAAGAAGCTTTGGCTCCTAACTCCAGACTGGTCCATCTCTAGCCATTGTGGCCATCTGGGGAGTGAATCAGCAGATGCAGTATGTTTTATCATCCCTCTGTAACTCTGCCTTTTAAATAAAAATAAATTTATTTTTAAAAGGCCAGTGCCTAGGGCCCAGTGCGATAGCGTAATGGTTAAAGTCCTTGCCTTGAACACACCGGGATCCCATATGGTCGCCGGGTCTAATCCTGGTAGCTCCACTTGCCATCCAGCTCCCTGCTTGGGGCCTGGGAAAACAATTGAGGACAGCGCAAAGCCTTGGGACCCTGCACCCGCTTGGAAAACCTGGAAAGAAGCTCCTGGCTCCTGGCTTCGGATCAGCGCAGTACCAGCCGTTGCAGTCACTTGGGGAGTGAATAATCAGATGGAAGATTTTTCTCTCTATCTCTCCTCTTCTCTGTACACCTGCCTTTCCAATAAAATAAATAAATCTTTTTTTTTTTTTTAAAGATTTATTTTTTTTATTATTTTTTCATTGGAAAGGCGGATATACAGAGAGGAGAGACAGAGAGGAAGATCCTCCGTCCGATGATTCACTCCCCAAGTGAGCGAAACGGGCCGATACTATGCCAATCCGAAGCCAGGAGCCTCTTCCGGGTCTCCCACGCGGGTGCAGGTTCCCAAAGCTTTGGGCTGTCCTCGACTGCTTTCCCAGGCCACAAGCAGGGAGCTGGAAGGGAAGCGGGGCTGCCGGGATTAGAACCGGCGCCCATATGGGATCCCGGGCATGCAAGGTGAGGACCTTTAACCACTTGCGCCACCGCGCCGGGCCCAAAATAAATAAATCTTAAAAAGTTTTTGGTTTTGTTATTTTTTAATTAGCTGTGGTACCATGTGGTGGGTAGATCTGTACAAAACTATCAGTAGGCAGTAGAAAGAAATGTACCTGACATACACTTCAACACACATCAGCCTTGGAATTACATTGGAAAGAAATCAGCCACAAAAAAAATCTTTGATTCTGTTTACACAGAATGACCAGAATAGGTTGCTCTATAGGGACAGGAAGGATTATGTACTCTCCAGGTGGTTTTAGAGTTTAACTTGACCGAACTAGTGTCCAGTGCCTGCTTCTTGCCATCTGATGCTGCGGCAAAGCCCAATCAACCCTCACCCACTCTAATTTAGCTATGGTACCATAGCTAATTAAAAAGTAACAAAACCAAAAACTTTTTTTTTGTTTCATTTAAAATACAAAAGGCAAAGAGACAAAAGTTCTGCCATCTGCTGGTTCATTCCTCAGATGCTTGCAATAGCTGAGTCTGGACAAGGCCAGAGCCAGGAGTCCAGGTCTCGGAGCAGGTCTCTGACGTGGGTGGCGGGGCCCAAGTACTTGAGCTATCTAACCTGCTCTCTTTCAGGATGTGCATTAGCAGGAAGCCAGGATAAGAAATGTACCCAAGACTTGAACCTAGGCATTCTAAGTGGAATCTTAAGCATTGTGCCAAACACCCATCTCATAATCACTTTAGAACATTTTCGTTATTCCACAAAGAAAGCTCAAACCCATTAGCAGTCAGTCCCATTTTACTTCATCTCCCGAACCCTTGGCAGTTATTAATTTCCTTCCTGTCTCTATAGATCGACCTATTCTGGTCATTCTGTGTAAATAAAATCAAAGATTTTTTTTTGTGGCTGATTTCTTTCCAGTGTAATTCCAAGGCTGATGTGTGCTGAAGCGTGTGTCAGGTACATTTCTTTCTATTGCCTACTGATATTGCTTTGTACAGATTTACCCACCACATTTTATTTACCTGTTTACTAGTTGAGATATTTAGGTTATTTGCGTTTTTGTCTATTATAAATAATGCTACTATGGCCTTTTGTTTGCCAAAGGGTTTTCTAAATAGCTATGCTGTTTCATCAGTAGAGTATAAAGGCGACAGTTTTTCCAGTTTTTCCGTAGCCTGACACTTTTTATTTTTTGTCTTTTTGATTGTAGCTATCATAGGAGTGATGTCTCATGATTTTGACTTAAACATTTCATGTCGCTGTTTGTTTTTTTAATGTTTGTTATAAGCTTGTGTTTGATAGACTGGATTTTATAGCATAGGTAGTTTTGTAGTTTGTCTTTTAATTTTTGATGTTTACATACTTGAATAGGTTGGGAAGGGTTAAGGGTTAGGAGAAAGTGGGTGGGACCATTGTTTCCACATTTTCTTTTTCTTTTTCTTGTGTCTGGGGAAGGGAGAAGCCAGACCCAGCCTCCCAACCACCTCAGTGCCCAGGTATGGGGAAACACCACCAGATGTCATACCATGGTCCCCAGTATGAAGCATGCTCTGAGGGCACTGCTTATGTGTGTGTGTGTGTTTTTTTAAAGATTTATTTTATTTTCATTACAAAATCAGATATACAGAGAGGAGGAGAGACAGAGAGGAAGATCTTCCGTCTATTTAATTATTCATTCCCCAAGTGACCGCAACAGCTGGTACTGTGCTGATCCAAAGCCAGGAACCAGGAACCTCTTCCACATTTCCTGCACTGGTGCAGAGTCCCAAAGCATTGGGCTGTCCTTGACTGTTTTCTCAGGCCACAAGCAGGGAGCTGGATGCTTCCGGGATTAGAACCGGCGACCATATGGAATCCCGGTGTGTTCAAGGCGAGGACTTTAGCTGCTAGGCCACCACGCTGGGCCCATGTGTTTTTGATAGCTCTGAAATGCTATCAGTCTTGCCACTCCAAGAGTGAGAAAATCCTTCCAAGGTCCATTGGCAGACATAATCCACCTCAGAGCCTCCATTTGCCCAGATATTTGCTGCCAATGCTTGACTGAGGTAGCTGATCAGTTTGTTCTACCCTCCCTCCTCTATTATTTTACCAGATGTCTTCTGCAGGTTCAGATGTACTACCATATCCTCCATGTGCATCTGGATATTCTGTCCACTGCTCTAAGCCACTGAGGAGTCCAAGTGGACACATGCACCCTATGGTCAGACCACCAATCCTGTAATTCTCCTCATGGTTGGAGTTCTGAGTCCAGTGGTTCAGTTGGGGAAATCCCTAAAGAAACCTCTTCTGAAGTGATCCCTGAGATGACTCTTGTGTGTGCTTGCCATTACAGGGTCCAGCTCTGTCCATTATCTGCATCAGCCAATGCACATGCTGGTAGTTGCAGTTGCTGGATCAATTCTGTTTCCACCCCAACCTTCTACACAAACCAATGGGTGTTACGGCCCAACCTGACCCTTCCCATCATACACTTGGCCCTCATGTACACCAGCAAGAGCTTCAACCTAGTCAAAATGACTCCCATTAGCCCCCACTAGGCCCGCTGCCAGACCTGGTTCCCATGCTTGCCAGTATGTGTAACAGACTGGTCTAGTCTGTCCTGCATCCAGTTCAGCTCTTGTACACATCAATGGATGTTGAAGCCTAGCTGAACCCAGTTAGTCCCACTATCCAGCTCACGCTTGTGCTGGCTGGAGTGGTACCGATCCGAAGCCAGGAACCAGCAGCTTCTTCTGGTTCACCCATGTGTATGCAGGGTTCCAAGGCTTTGAGCCATCTTTTACTGCTTTACCAGGCCCCAAGCAGAGAGCTGGATAGGAATTGGGGCTGTCAGGATTTGAACTGGTGCCCATGTGGGATCCCGGGCACTTTCGAAGGTGAGGACTTTAGCTGCTAAGCCACCACGCCGGGCCCATTTTTATTTTAAATCTTAAAGAGCCAGATGGGGCAGGCACAGTTACTTAACATGATAATCCTCTACCTGTAGTTCTGGCGTCCCATATGGGTATTTGTTTGAGTCCTGGCTACTCAACTTCTGATCCCACTCCCTACTCTTGACTTGCACAGGCAGCAGAGAATGGCTCGGCCCTGGCCATTGTGGCCATTGGGGGAGTGAACCACTGGATGGAAGATCTGTCTCTCTTCCCTCTGTAAATCTGCCTCTCAAATAAAAATAAATCTTAAAAAAAAAAAGAAACACAGAAGCAATCAGTGTGGAAAGTTAGGTTTATTTTTAAGAGCTAGCTAGTTTAACTTTTGTAAATTAAGCTTTTTAAAATATGTGTTTATAATATCTCTGAAAAAATTAATTGTGGTGTCATAAATGGGGTAATATCACTGGTGGTAATGTAATAAAGGAGATGAACTGAAACATATGAAACTTATTTCTTGTGTGAAGAGTTTCTGTGGAAGGACTAATAAGTGTAATGGGTACAGGATAAAAATTTAAAGTCCTGGATCTTCTTCATGAAGTCATCAGTGTTTTAGCTTAAGTAACCAAGTAATGGTAAAAATGTATGGTAAGCCATTTTTTTCCAATTTCCAAGTAATGGAAGTCAAATTTTTAAGCTCTAAATGACCAGATTCACTCTAGCGGAAGTGTAGTGTCTAATTTATAGCTCATTTGTATCTGTTCCTTTCTGGCCTCTAGTGTTCCCAGACCTCTGCCCTCCCTGTGGTGAATGAGTTGTCTAGTCTTCTGCTTCTCTTATTTTTCAACTCCTGTGTACTCTGCACGAGGAGCTAGTCTGGACTAGCTTGGAACAGTTTTGAACAATTAGCTTTACTGACAATATTGTGTGTTTCATATAATTTGTATTCCTAAAACTTGTTCTTTAGATCTCTGTACAATCTGATTTCCTTGTAACTATCCCTATCTTGACCAGAATATTTTGTTTAGCATTCTCCAGATAATGCTCAGTAATGTAATGTATATGCCCGGTCTAAGTGTGTCTCTGGCTTTTCCTTGTCTTCATTTCTTCTCATGTCATTTCAGTTTTCTCAAATTCCCTTTGTTCTCCAATCGTAAACCTTTGCTGCTAGCTTTGATCTATTTCTTCTCTGGTATTTAGAGTTTTCCAGAGGTGCAAATTGTGTGAGAGTGTGTGTGTGTGTGTGATGCAGAAGGTGAGAGAGAGAGACAGGGTTTAGGGGAGGAGGCATTGGACATTATGGAGGGTGACAGGTTCCAGGCTGTGCAGAGTGAGTGGGCGGAGCAGAGGCCTAACAGCTGATGGTGTAGTTGCTGTGGAGGCTGTCAGGCCTGATACCCGGAGGAACCAGGATGCAGTCTGTAGTTAGATAAGCATTTGAAAGATAGTGAAACTAGAATATTTTAGGCTGGAAAGGGTTTTGAGGTTATCTTACTTTGGATTTTAGGATTTAATAAAAGCTGTAAAATATGGAGGAGTAATAATAAACTGTGATTAAAACAATAAAATGCAATCACATAATGTATACGGAATCAGCACACTTCCAGTCACATAATTAGTAGCTCAGTGGTTGTTCCTTGTGCTAAAAATATTATTAATTCATTAAGACTTTATCTTTTATAGCAGCAAGTACCAAAATCATTTACCATGTCTTTTGCTATAGGAAATTAGGGCATATTCTTAGAGATTGTAGCTTCCCCACTCCTCTTTCCATTCAGTGATTCATATGCACAAGTGTTCTGTCTCAAACAGAATGTAGGGATCTGGGCTGTGTGTGGCCTGGAGCTCCAGCTACTTTTGAGTCTGGCTATTCTACTTCCAATCCAGGTCCCTGCTAATGTGCTTGGGAAAATAGCAGAGTTTGGCCAGAGCACTTGTTTTTTTTACTTTTTAAATAATTATTGGGCCCAGTGTGGTGGCGCAGTGGTTAAGGTCCTCGCCTTGCATGCCCGGGATCCCATATGGGCGCCTGTTCTAATCCCGGCAGCCCCGCTTCCCTTCCAGCTCCCTGCCTGTGGCCTGGGAAAGCAGTCGAGGATGGCCCAAAGCTTTGGGACCCTGCACCCGCGTGGGAGACCCGGAAGAGTCTCCTGGCTTTGGATCGGCATAGCATCGGCCGGAAGATCTTCCTCTCTGTCTCTCCTCTCTGTATATCCGCCTTTCCAATAAAAAAAAATAATGAAGATAAATCTTTTAAAAAAAATTTATTGTATTTTTATTGCAAAGTCAGATACACAGAGAGGAGGAGAGACAGAGAGGAAAATCTTCTGTCCGATGATTCACTCTCCAAGTCAGCGCAACGGCCATGGCTGAGCCGATCCCAAGCCAGGAACCAGGAGCTCTTCCAGGTCTCCCACACCGGTGCAGGGTCCCAAGGCCTTGGGCCATCCTCAACTGTTTTCCCAGGCCACAAGCAGAGAGCTGGATGGAAGTGGAGCTACCGGGATTAGAACTGGCGCCCATATGGGATCCTGGCATGGTCAAGGCGAGGACTTTAGCTAGTAGGCCACTGCGCCTGGCCCTGGCCCAAGTACTTGTGCGAGACATGGTTGAAGTTGAAATTCCTGACTTTGGCCTGTCTGAGCTGTTGTCTATTTGGAGAGTGAACAGATGAAAAATTTCTCTTTGGTTCTGTCTCCCTCCTCTCCCTGTCATTCTACCTTTCAAATACATATTTAAAAAAGAACATGCCTGAGATCATGTCATTCTTTCTTCAAAGGGTATTGATATGTTACAGTTCATGATTCATATACAAAATTCCAATTAGTTTTCAAACATAAGTGAGCAAAACCATGTGTCAATTTCACTTTTTTGGGCAGGACTATTGAAGCTGCAGATTGAGGCTGTTGAAGTTGGAATATGAGAGTACTTTAACTAGAACAAAACCAGTCTCATTTAGAAAATTTCAGTCATGGGAAATGAAATGATTGTTTTTTTTATGTTTTTCACTTTCTAGAGCAATAAGCCCACCTTAAAGCCTCAAGATGGTTCTGGCAGACCTTGGAAGAAAAATAACATCAGCATTACGCTCACTGAGCAATGCCACCATTATCAATGAAGAGGTATGTAAAATAGTATGTGAATTACATAAATTATTGTATATCTTTTCCAGTTATTGGCAAGGTGAAGTATTAGTAATCCCTGTGTGTACGTTTATTTGATGTAGACTTAATACTTTTAGATAAAACTTAATGCTAGATACAATAAGTCATATTCTTGATTGAGATAGTAACTCAGTAGCATTATTTCTTTTATGTAAGAATTTCTTTTAAAATGACCTTATCTTGCATGTAGAAAGTAATGTAACATCTGAAGCTGGTTTAAGTCTGGAATGGTGCTTAGGTTTTCTGTCTTGACATCAGCTTAGAACTTTTTTATTCTATGTCTTGGCTAGGCATATGCTTACCCGACCCTTCTGTGCTTACTTCTGTTTAACATTCTTTTTGTAAAAGGCAAGCACATATTTGAGGGCCACTTTGCTTAATCTTTTCTGAAATATACCTTTTTCCTTTGTTTTGAGATATTATGAGGTGGCTTCTTATATGAACTCTGAAATGTTTCTTGACTTTGTTATCATAACATGCTATATGCCTTTCTCCTGGTTCCCGCCACCCCCCCCCCCCGAGAATGAGTCTTAAGTTTTGTTGATTTAAAAAGAGATGATTATAGTTCACAAGGACATTTTATGTTTTTTAGTAACAATGGAAAATGTCCTGAATTTGGTTTTTTTTTTTTTTTTTTAAAGATTTATTTTTATTATTTTTTCATTGGAAAGGCGGATATACAGAGAGGAGAGACAGAGAGGAAGATCTTCCGTCCGATGATTCACTCCCCAAGTGAGCGCAACGGGTCGATACTATGCCGATCTGAAGCCAGGAGCCTCTTCCGGGTCTCCCACGCGGGTGCAGGTTCCCAAAGCCTTGGGCTGTCCTCGACTGCCTTCCCAGGCCACAGGCAGGGAGCTGGAAGGGAAGCGGGGCTGCCGGGATTAGAACCGGCGCCCATATGGGATCCCGGGCGTGCAAGGCGAGGACCTTTAACCACATGCGCCACCGCGCCGGGCCCCTGAATTTGGTTTTTGAAGACAGTCCTATTTGAGCCATTTAGTAGCTGCACAATGTAAATTCAGACAAGTCCACTTTTCTGATGTAAGTGGTAAAATAACTTGTGCCATAAAAATGACTTTAAAGATCAAATGAATTAATAAAATTAAAAATTATTTCTAAGCTTGGAGTCTTAGAAAAATTCAACTGTAGTATTTTATATCAACTTGTTCATTAAATTATGGAATGAAATAATCTGGAAGACCATCTTGGAGATCCAGGCTTTCGTGCAATAGAATATTTGTGTGTTCATTCATTGAAAGTACTGAGTTTAGAATCTTTGTCTCCTAATTCTTCATCTAGGATTTTTTAGTCATTCTTACCAAGGAATAAGCCATTTGTCTAACCTCCTAAGAGGATAAATAGCACGGCAGCTTTCTTGGTAGTTTTTTCAGTTATGTGGCCCCAATGCTTTCTGTTTAAAGAAAACTCGGAGAAGCAGACTTGGTGGAAAGTAGGCTGAGACAGGTGCTTCCTGAATTCATAGCCCTCTGTTCTTGGTACTGTTCTGCTAGTGAATTGACAAGGAGAAATGCTTCCAGTTATATCTGACCCCTGGAATAATGAGTGAGTAGAGAAGTCTGGGCCACCTCCAGGATGTGTATGAAGTGAGTTGAGGGAGAGATTTCATTCAAAAAAAGTATTGGAGGGCCTGTGTTTTTGAAGTTTTTTTTCCTGACCCAGTGATAAAACAGTGATTAAAGACTAAAATTCTTCCCCTCATGGAGATTATGTTCTAGTGTGTAAGCACATATACAAAGTTAGGCCAAAATCTAAACTTAAGACTTTATGGCATTTTAACCATAGTTCCTTGAAGCTCAGCAAACTTGTGACAGTGTGAGTTATAGTGAGAGATGCTTACTTTCTGACTGGAAAGCTAAGATTGGGTCATTGTCTCCTATCATATTTTTCTCTTTGGTATTCCAACTGAAAAAAGTAGGTGTACACTATGAATATATATACTGTGTATCAGTAACATAAAGCAGCAATGGCCGTATCCATTGTATAGTAACTTTTTAGCTTCCATATTATCTTTTGTTTTTAAAGATTTATTTAGGTTTTATTGGCAAGTCAGATATACAGAGAAGAGGAGACACAGAGAGGAAGATCTTTCTGCTGATTCACTCCCCAAGTGACTGCAGTGGCTGGAGCTGAGCCTGTTTGAAGCCAGCAACCCAGAGCTGCTTCTGGGTCTTCCATGCAGGTGCAGGGTCCCAAGGCTTTGGGCTGTCCTTGACTGCTTTCCCAGGCCACAAGCAGGGAGCTGGATGGCAAGCAGGGCTGCTGGGTTTAGAACTGACATCCATATGGAATCCTGGTGCATGTGAGGCGAGGACTTTAGCCACTAGGCTACCATGCTGGACCCGCATATTTTCTTTATTTTCATTTTCACATAAGGATAGAAGTGTAGAATAAAATTTATGTTTGAATATGTGAAACATATATTCACATATATATATTCCAAGGGGTGGAATGCATTGTGCCTCTGCAAGTTGAGCTGACACTTGGGGCACCCACATTCCATATCAGAGTGCCTGAGATCAAATCCACCTCCTCTTCCGGTTCATTTCTAATTTGTACCCTGGGAGACAGCAGGTGATGGTTCAGGTGTATGCGCTCCTGCCACCCACATGGGAGACCCAGAACAAGCTCCTAGCTTTTGCCTAGCTCACCCATGGCTATTGCAGGCATTTGAAGAACCAACAAAATGGAAAGATACATTCATTCTCTCTCTCTCTCTCCTTCTTTCTCTTTCTCTGTTATTCTTTCATATAAGAAAACCCAAAAAGCTAAATGGAATGTCTTATATTAACAAAATGGACATTATGTAAGATTTTTTTTCCTCTAAAGCTTTTCCCCCAGTATTGTGGTATTGTGTATCTTCATTAAGCTATGATATAATATGATGTGACCAATAATTGTTTTATGTAATTGAAGTGATACATTGAACACTTTATTTATTTTCAGGTGTTAAATGCTATGCTAAAGGAAGTATGTACAGCATTATTGGAAGCGGATGTTAACATTAAACTAGTGAAGCAACTAAGAGAAAATGTTAAGTAAGTTAAATAAGTCAGGTAAAAACCAAACATAGTTTAGTTTACTGGGATGAGGAACTAACTGTATCATGAAACATTTCTGCTATGTAACATTGGAACAGAATGGAACTCATACTGAAAATCTACATGTGTCGTATGTTTCTGAAATGATAGTTCAAAGAATAAACTGCATGTGGCTTTCATTTCATCCTGGAATTTTTAAAATTTTACTGCTTGTTTATTTGGATGGACTCAATCATATACTGTACAGTTTTTGATATAAAAGATTCTTCATAGAAAACTGGTGCCATTTTATCCTTTTCATGCTTAATGTGGTATTAATTAGCCTCATTCTTTACTGGAGAGTTATTTTCTCTTTTGTGCCCAGTTTGGTTTCTCTGTCCGTATCAGCAGGAAGGAGCAGTGTGTGTGGTCTCTGTTGCGTGCACCGGGAGAGGCGCTGGCTGCCTGAATGCCACCCCTTTCATACTTCCTGTAGCATCACCCTGAGCCTCACTGGCAAGGGATTATCATTTAAATAAACACTGACAACTGGAGAAAGCAGTCCTGTCTTGTGCTATTTTTAAAACATATAAGAAATCTGTAAGAAAAACTAATGAGATTAATACTTTGCAGTGTTGATGGAATAAATTTTTATGCTTTTAAATAAAAGCCTTGAAAACTTAATGAAAGTCTTACCTCTAACATTTCTTGGTAAAATTACTTATACTATGACTTGTAACTATAATGTTTGTTCCTGTTAATTAGAAGATTGTTAATATGAATAACTGAACATCCTTACTATTCTTTGGGACAAAACTTCTTTTTTAGAGTGTCTTAGTTGACTTTTCTCCTCTCTCCCCTAAATAACATCCTTGTGAAGGTCTGCTATTGATCTCGAAGAAATGGCATCTGGACTTAACAAAAGAAAAATGATTCAGCATGCTGTATTTAAAGAACTTGTGAAGGTAAGTGACTGTCAATATTGTGCAGTGATTCTGTACTCGAAGTGGACAAAAATAAACTAGCACTAGGATGTATGTTTCTACAGAATGGGTGTCTATATTAAAGTATTGGCTGAAAGACTAGTAAGTGGCATGTTTTTATTATGGATTTTAATTGGAACAGAACAAAAAAGCCAATACTTTTCCTGCCAGAAGGTAGAAATGTATTCAGCCTGATCAGCAGGCACTCTTCCCTGAGTTTTTTCTTTTAGAGTTGGGTATTGCCTACTGATGGTCCTACTTTCTACAGGAAGGTCAGGCTCAGCAAGTCATTTTTAGTGTTTATTGTATTAAAAAATGTTCTTTGAAAGGAACAAATATCCCAACTCTTGCTTGGATTTGAAGCGATTTTTGATTAGTGGAGTTTTCTTTTTCAAGTAGTAACTGTTGGTTATTTCCCTGCATCACCTTTGTACTGCCACTAATCTGCTTGTTTTGCAAATTAGCATAAACATCTTCAATCATTAAAATATATGTAGATAGATAGTCCTCTGGTGGTCTCTTATTATTTTTCTTACACTACACAAATATCTTTGTTTACTATTTTGGTGCTAATAACGCTGATAGGTGTTTTTGTTTTGTTTTTGTTTTTAGTTGGTTTTTGTTTTCGTGTTTTGAAAAGTATTAATTTATTTAAAACTGTTTCCAAGAGAGGAAGAGACATAGAAAGAAAAAGATCTTCCGTACTCTAATTCACTCCCCAAATGACTGCCATGGCTGAGGCTGAGTTGATCCAAAGCCAGAAGCCTGGAGATTCTTTAAGGTCATCTGTGTGGGTGCAGGGGCCCAAGGACCTGAGCCATCCTCCCGTGCTTTCCCAGGCCATCAGCATGTAGCTGGTTCAGAAGTGGAGAAGCCAAGACATGAACCTGTGCCAATATGAGATGCTGTTGCTACAAATGGAGTATTAGCTGGCTACACCACCACATTTACTCTTTTCAAATTAATTGTTTTAATTCCTTGTGTAGCCATAGCTATTAGCATTTGGAGAGTGAACAGTTGGATAGAAAGTCCCCCTTGTGTTTCCTTTCCTCTGTCTTTCACATTGAAAAGAGCATTTTGTTGAATCGCAGCTTTTGTGCAGCCAGTATGTTAAATGATTCTGGTAACAGATGAATTACTGGCTCTTATACTTAAGCTTATCATGTGAGACAGCAGTGTTTAAAGTAAGGTTGAAACTTTTCACAGTAATAGATTATTTGCCTTTTTTTTTTTTTTTTAAAGATTTATTTTTATTATTTTTTATTGGAAAGGCGGATATACAGAGAGGAGAGACAGAGAGGAAGATCTTCCGTCCGATGATTCACTCCCCAAGTGAGCGCAACGGGCCGATACTACGCCGATCCAAAGCCAGGAGCCTCTTCCGGGTCTCCCACGCGGGTGCAGGGTCCCAAAGCTTTGGGCCGTCCTCTGCTGCTTTCCCAGGCCACAGGCAGGGAGCTGGAAGGGAAGCGGGGCTGCCGGGATTAGAACCGGCGCCCATATGGGATCCCGGGCGTGCAAGGCGAGGACTTAACCACTTGCGCCACCGCGCCGGGCCCCTGCCTTTTTTTTTTTTAACTGCTGGCTAAACCTCTGTGTCTTGTACAAATTTAAGACAGTGATAGCAAACAATACTAATAATCTTTGTACTTTTTACTACCAAACAATTGCAGTTAAGAGGAAAAATGCATTATCATCTATTTTTGATGAAGCAGTAGAAATGATTCATTATGCCAGTCTTCACCCTCAATGTATACATCTTTTTAAGATTCTTTGTGATGAAATGGGAAGGATTCAGAAAGCCCTTCTGCTGTCTGCTGCAATCCCCTGATTGCCTTGAGGAAAGCACAGATGGGGTTATTCAGTTGCAAGCTACATGAGTTGCTTCTTAAATAGAACACCATTTTTACATGAAGGAGTTGCCGACCTATAATTTGTGATTATGCACTTTGACGTTTGGTACCTACCTTTTCTCCAAAGTAAATAAGGTGAACTTCTTACATAGTGTTAGGCCTAGTGATAGAATGCAAGGCTCCAAGTATAAACTAGAAACTTGGATCTCTACTGAGCTGGACAGTATCTCGGTACTTTTCTGATGAGGTCATTGTTGGTTTTAACATTATTTTTTGTTGTGTATATTGAAAGGGATCAAATCATGGGAAGTTTGCATAACTAAATGAGCTAGTGTTTTCTAAATGACTAATGAATATAGTTACGAAATCATGTACCAGTATAATATCTACTCGTTATACAAGATGGAATCAGGTTTTTATGCAAAAGAGGAGAAAGTCTTTTTTTTTTTTTTTTTTTTTGAGATTTTTTTTTTTTTTTTTTTTTTTTATTATTATTGTTGCTTACATTGTATTATGTAGTACAGCTCCATAGGCGCTGGGGATTCCCCCCACCCCTCCCACACCCCTCCCCCCATGGTGGATTCCTCCACCTTGTTGCATAACCATAGATCAAGTTCAGTTGAGATTCATTGCTTGCAAACACATGCCTAGCATAAAGTTCCGTGTCCTATTGTCCAGATAAGTTCAGTGGCCTCTTGGGGAGACCTTCTATGGTCTGAAGATAGGTCTAACAGAGTAAAGATCCGGTCAGTTAAAAGCCCCAACAAGGCCTCAGTATCATTATACAACATTATGGAATTAATTGACATAGTATTGGGTAAACAATATGTTAAAAATAATGCAAGTTCCATTCTTCGAGACATCTGGGTTGAGACAGTATCAATGACAGGTTCAAAAAATAACAAACAACCAAACAAAAATTACACGTTAAATCAAGGCAAACATGTGGTATCTAATCTTTTGGGATTCACTCATTTCCCTTAGCATTATAGTTTCCAGTTGTGCCCATTTAGCCACAAAGAACTGCATTTTGTTTTTTTTAATAGCTGAGTAGTATTCCATGGAGTAGATGAACCAAAGCTTTCTTATCCAATCTTCTGCTGATGGGCATTTTGGTTGCTTCCATGTTTTTGCAATTACTGATTGTGCTGCAATGAACATAGGGATGCATGTTGGTTTGTCGTAAAACAGGTGTTTTGGATATATTCCTAGGAGTGCTATTGCTGGGTCATATGGTATGCAGATTTTGAGTTGTTTGAGTGTTCTCCAGACTGATTTCCATAGAGGCTGTACCAATTTGCAGCTCCACCAGCAGTGGAGTAGGGTTCCCTTTTCCCCGCATCCTCGCCAGCAGGCGTCGTTGGTGTTCTTGTTTATGTGGGCCAATCTTGCTGGTGTTAGGTGGTACCTCATCGATGTTTTAATTTGGATTTCCCTTATTGCTAGGGAGCTGGAACATTTTTTCATATGTTTGTTTGCCATTTGGATTTGTTCCTTTGTGAAATGTTTGCCCATTTCCCGTGCCCATTTCTTGAGTGGCTTGTTCGTTTTGGTTTTTTGGTTGTTTTGAAGTTCTTTGTATATCCTGGAAATTAGCCCCCTATCGCCTATATCGTGTGCAAAGATCTTCTCCCACTCTGTGGGTTGCTTTTTTACTTTGTTGATTGTTTCCCTTGCTGTACAGAAGCTTCTTAGTTTGATGAGGTCCCATTTGTTTATTCTGTTCTCAACTGCTATTGCTTTTGGTGTCCTTCTTAGAAAGTTGGGACCTACTCCTAGGTCTTGCAGGGTATTTCCTACATTTTCTTGCAAGAGTTTGAAGGTTTCTGGATGTAGGTTTAGGTCTTTTATCCATGTAGATTGGATCTTGGTGTATGGTGATAGATGTGGGTCTATCTTTTTGTTTCTACAGGCTATCAGCCAGTTGTCCCAACAACATTTACTAAAGAGGCCTTCCCACTTGCTTGAGTTGTCATTGGTCTTTTTGTCAAAGATTAATTGGTTGTATTTGTGTGGGTTCCCTTTTGGAGCTTCTATTCTATTCCATTGATCTTCCTTTCTGTCTTTGTGCCAGTACCAGGCTGTTTTGATAACCACTGCTCTATAGTATGTCCAGAGGTCCGGGATTGTGATTCCCCCTGCTAACTTCTTATTTTTCAGGATGGTTCTAGCTATTCGTGGTTTTTTGTGTTTCCAGATGAACTTTTGAATCATTGTATCCAGTTCCGTGAAGAATGTTTTGGGCAATTTGATTGGAATTGCATTGAAAATGTATATTGCTTGTGGCAGTATAGACATTTTAATGATATTGATTTTGCCTATCCAGGAGCACGGGATGTTGTTCCATCTTTTGAGGTTTTGTTCAATTTCCTTTTTAAATAGTTTGTAGTTTTCTTCGAATAGGTCTCCTACGCTTTTGGTTAGATTTATTCCCAAATACTTCATACTTCTCTCAGCTATTTTGAATGGTATCCTGTTGGTTAGATTTTCTTCCATCTTGGTGTTATTTGCGTACACTATGGCTGTTGATTTTCGTTCGTTAATTTTGTACCCCGCCACTCTGCCAAACTCTCGTATAAGTTCTAGCAGTTTCTGTATTGAGTCTCCTGGTTTTTCTATGTATAGGATTATGTCATCTGCATATAGTGAAAGCTTGACTTCTTCGTTTCCTATACGTATGCCTTTGATTTCTTTTTCTTGTCTTATGGCCTCTGCAAGTACCTCTAGGACTATGTTGAATAGCAGTGGTGATAGCGGGCACCCTTGTCTTGTTCCAGATCGCAGTGGGAAGGGTTCTAGCTTTTCTCCATTCAGTATGATACTGGCGTTGGGTTTTTCATAAATTGCTTTGATTATGTTGTGGATTTTCCCGTCTATGCCTACTTTGGCTAGAGTTTTTAGCATGAAGAGGTGTTGGATTTTGTCGAAGGCTTTTTCTGCATCTATTGAAACTATTATGTGGTTCTTGTTTTGCAGTTTTTGGATATGGTTTATAACATTTATGGATTTCCGAATATTGAACCATCCCTGCATTCCAGGGATGAATCCTACTTGATCCGGATGAATGATCTGTCTGATGATTTTTTGAATTCTATTGGCTAGGATTTTGTTGAGAATTTTAGCATCAAT